TATTATATATATTACCTATGTTTTATTCCGGATCACTTATCTTTCTTTATTCGTGTACAATATGTTTGTGCTCTTCCGTGTACAATATATTTGTGCTCTTCTATCCTTTTCCCACCTGAAGGCAGTTAAGATGGTATGGAGTCTGTTTTGGGTTGATTGTGAACCTATTCTAATGGTTAGTAGCACATACTTCTTCCTCATTTGTCGTCCCGGGCCGTTCGTTCAATTTTGATATCAAGTTTATGTATACTGTTCATGCAGTCTCATTTTGGTAATAGTTGTTTATCCCCAATAAATCAATGCCAGCCAGATTTGTTCTTCTGTAGTATGTTCATAGCAATAATATTGTGCGAATCGAGGAGCGAGTTCTGGATATGCGAGTGGTAAAATGTGTGCCGACTATTTAAGACTAGTATTGCACCGCGACTTCATGGTTGGATTTTACAGTTTACAGTTTTTCTGTTCTATAATTAGACTGCAACTTACATTTCATTGGCATAAAAAAACTCCATCACTACGGACTTTTAATCAGGAAAATTGGTAATTGGCACCAACAATATTGGCTTGTTTCGATTGGCAAGCAGGTATAGACAACTGGCGGAAAGTAATATTTTAAATGATTGAAAACGAAGTCCACTTTAGCGGGAGAGAAATTTGAACGAAGAGGAGTTGTCAGAGATTGTGATGTGTGTGGCTGGCGACTTCGACAGGTAAATAAAGGAAGCGACGAGCTATAAATTAAAACGTGGTGATCGCTCATCACATACATGACTGTTCCAGTGTTCGAACGCTGGTAAATCTGACGCTTAGTACGAGTTAAGCTACGAAACAAAAACTTGATTTTCAAATTGTATAGCAGAGAGTTACATTCTGTTAATTAAGTCATTCTCGTCACATCTCGGTGTATAATACTTGCAAAAAACGGTGAAGCCTAAAATACCGGTTAAAACCCCACCGAATAGCTTTTAAGTAATAGTTGAAACAAATAAAAAACATCATGGTCGCAAAATTTCTCTAGGCATGGAGCCAGAGAGTTCAGAGAACTTCTGCACAGTGGAAATTGATCTCACTACACCGCCGCCACTGCCCCCTGGACCTGCCCCAGTCCAGATTGATATTGCAAATATTGCGACACAACAGACGGCATCGGTATCACAAACATCGCCTATTGTTGCAGGCACTGGGAGATTGGCATCTCCCAGTCAAGATTTTACTATAGTATCCTCAAAGCGCAAGAGTCTTGCCGTCTCAATTCTCGGTCTGATCACTGACAAACTCATCAAGAGACATAGCTCTTCAGGAACTGCTGATTCTCAGACCATACCAACCGCTAAAAGTCTTGGCAAATCATCTCAGGGTATCGGATGGTGGGTTGGTCTATTTGCATATATATTCGCATTTGCCGTATTTGTACCCATGACCATTGTTGCTCTGATTGCCAACGATGGACTTATGCCCGTGGATGATGTGACCTTGACCCCAGGAGTAATGCAGGGCATTCGACAAGCCCATATGATGAACAACTCTCAAGTGTACGACAACTTCACAGCTTCGGTGGCCTCCTTATATATTAGAAACGAGGACCAGAACTTGACCGACGCTATCTTCACAAACGTATTAAGATCTGAATTGGGGCTCATATAGTAAGTTTTTGTGAGAAGTTTGTGCTTTAATTTTGTGAGCCATATTAATATTTATTGATGTAAATCATCGATTTCAATCTTCAGCGTATATATTCCACTCAGCAGTTCCTCTGACCTTTTTTATCAAATTTATTTTGCTGCAATATATATACTTACGCAGCCTGACCTTCGCCCCCCCCTCTCTCTCTATACATTATATTTACAGTCCCACCCTGATTCAATTTGACGCGACTCTGAAAGCCAGAGCATATCAGACCGTAAATCAAACCAGAGAAGCGGGGTATCCTGCCGCGGCTGGGATTCCCGGTTTCTCTGCTGTCATTCAAGGTACACTGGCTAGTCAAGGTGTGACTGCAGTCGTATTCTTGCAAATGGTGGAGAATGGTATAGCTCGGGCAACTATTGCAAGCGCTGAGCGTCATGAAGTATCTCGCAATGACAATATTGTCGGTACGGGTATCCAAGTGGGCCCAGCCATGCAGAGAGCGTACCATCTATCACCCGAGAATATATACCAAACCGCCGCAAACGCGTACCTGGATGAACTGCAGGATACTGGACTGGCATTGATTTTCTATTTATGTTTATCAGGCTGCGTGATCACCCTTGCCGTCGTACTTGTATTTGTATTCTTAGTCACGCAGTATGCCCGAATTTCGATCCAGACACAAAAATTTCTTGGTGCAGTTCTTCCTGGGCACAATATTATGTCCGATTGTACTGGCCGTCCAACTGTCTGCTGCTTTTGGCTACATGACTAGAGACTACCAGGCTATGAATATCACATATAATGTGACTGGATTCATCGTCGCATCGTTGGCAATCCTGGGCCCCATATCGGCGGTGATCCTCCGGCAACGGTGTATGTTCGGCGTTTTCAAACAAAGAACGGTATGTATGGGGGGGGGGTTATTTGGAGTCCGTTGATATCGATGCGTGATAGAATGACATTTTCTAAACCAATCCTTTTATTTTTGACATCACAGAGACACTCGCACTACTTCATCACCCTGCCTTGGCATGTGTTCCTGAACCTGTTCATCATCGGCGTCTTCACCTTCTGTGCCATTGAGCCCGAGAACTGCCCGGTGTGGAAGCGTTACGTTCCCATCTTTGTGACTGTTGTCAGCTTTGCCCTAGAGTTCATATACTACACTTGGAATGTACGCAACGCGAGTGGCATGTTTGTGGACATCTGGCAGAGTGCGCGGCTGCTTCTGGTATGGAGTGTCACTTTCTTCGATGGGTATATTGCTACCGCTTTCTTGGACGACCGCTGATCGTCATCTGCTTCCAGCTCTGCTTCTTGATCACAGATATGTCGTTGCTGCGTTCTCGAATCATAATCGAGTGTTTGAGAATCCTTGTACCAAGTGCAAGTATACGTCTCCGGTTCATACGTAGATGTATATGGCAATGCAAACATTTGAAATTCTGCTAAGCATTCGCTTCAAATATACAAATCCATTATATTATTGCTCGGCTATACCAGGTGGTGATATTGACTTGTTCTTGCTGCCAGTGATCAAAATTTTCTTCGGCGACGTGGGTACAAGGTACGTGACGACATCGATCTTGAAGGTCGAGTAAAACACATCTTCGACGTCAAGCGTGTAGACATGGTTCTTGCCGATCCCGAATACCGCCACCTACTTCTGAAGTTTGCTACTAAGCGTCATTGCACAGAGAATGTCGGACACATTCTTGATAGAGGTAGAAGATGTCCGCACTAAGTCTAGCATGACCGATAAAAGCGGCATGGACCAGGACTGGAAGAACGAGATAGCGAGCGACATAGAGCACATTGGCCTGTTGTATGTATTTGAGGATTCCGAGCAAGAACTTACCTATCTTCCAGATGCCGAAAGAACACCGTAGCTCGAATATGTGTGCAACCTTAATTTTTTACTATACATATCCGTACATTATACAGTTAGGCATGTAGATTAACTTGACTAGTGTCCGCCCAGCCACATTTCCTAATCCAGTCTTTGCCTTCTTCATAACAGTTGCGAGGTGATCTGTCGGCCTACACGGCATGCGAAATGGTGGGTATACTGAGTGCGGCTGAGAAGAGGTCCGTGACATGGTGCGATCTAACTTGCTGGGCGATTTTCAGAAGGATCCCGAAGTAAACAAGGTGATGGAGCGAATACTGCGCGCAGTAGAGAACATGACTATACTTGCCAGTCACGGACTGATCATCACCTCCACAACCAAGGAAGAGACGGACTCTGAGAAGAGTGACACGACTCGTGCTTGAGACGGTGTGGCGCAACGCTGGTAAACATCCACGTGAATGACTATAGACTGGTGTGTAGGTGGATGGATGTATACTACGGTTGTATACAACGGTGAGAACGTATACCAGTGTTGGATAGTAACGGTAAAGAACGGTACGGAGGAAAAAACAACTAGAAGTACAGAGTATATATAATATAATATAATATAATATAATACACAATATAAGATATATAGATATATAGATATATAATAGGAAAATAGATGCTGGCAACTAAAACGCAGCTCGAACGTGAAGTGGCACGGACCACACACTCACAACAGAACTCATGCCAATTGGGCTGGGCAACACTCTATCGCACAGGATAGAGATGTGAATGTTATTGTAATGCGCAGGACGCAAAGGGAACGGTTATAACTGAAGTAGTCAGACGAAGATGGTGTGCACGGCGATTAGGGAGGGCGATCGTTGATTGTTTGCACCTACACGCACACTGTACCATAGACGTACGAGGCAATCAAGTAGCCACATATCATGGGATGATGAATAGTATCCTATACCTCACACAGTGAGGGCAAACGAACAAGAAGATCCCTCACAACAAGTGGGACGGAAATAATAAAGTAACTGGAAATAGAAACGGTTTCAGTGCTACCTTTTTCGTTTTTTTTCGCGCACGCGAGCAGTTTACTAATATTGTATGCGACTATACTTCTTGGGCTTAAACGTTAGATGTATACATGTAACAATTCTACGGACATCTTGCTTACTTTGGTTGATTTCTGACACCTTAATTTATATTATATACTCATGAAGTCGACTGCCAGTCATTAGCAAGCGTCCAAAGGGCTTGGGCAGATACGTTGTCTACCCTACACACCTTAAACCCAGCCATCAGCAGAACTTGCGGCGGCCCTGCCCTCAATGTCATTGAAGCTACTTCCAAACCCGTTCACAGGTAGAAATGGCTGTACTTACAGCAAACAGAGAGCTACCATAGCTGGATAGTACCACTCCGTGCTTGCATTTCACGGTCCAATGCTATCGCACAATCCGATAGAGCCCTACACCAGCAGAACATGTTTTGGCGCTTGTATGTCCATTGCTCCCGTACTTACCTGGAGATCACACCGTTTATGCCATCGTAAAGCCCAGAAGACCCCCACAAGCCTATGCACTGTCTAATCTGTCTAGCCACTTAAGTGATGGAGTCTTTGCAGGTACTTCATTTACAATGGACTGTAACATATTCTTTCTGCTACGGAGATACGAAACCCTCGGCAGAGTCGACTGTGCCTATGGACAGGAACGATTCCACCGTATCTGTCGAGTGCATCAGGTCATACGCAGTGGCGAAGGATTCAATGCTGTAGGCGCTAACTCGAGACTGCATACAACGGTGAAGCTTACCGTGTTCAATACTTCAATGTTATTGCAACTACCTAGAGCCGCGACAGGTAGAATCTGGTGTACGTACATGGACAGTGATACCATAGCGGCCCAGGATCGTTCATGCATAGTGTTCGACTATGGGATGTTTAAACCTGATAACGTGCCGTTTCTGCCATAACATTAACAAGAACGCAAAGAAGGCGTCTCCTTCCTTGGCGGCGGGGGTGTGGAACTCAAACATGGCCCGCACTTTCCGCACGTTGCTCAGCAGTTCGTCATAGGTGTCCTGTGGGATGCTCTCCAAGATTGGCTTAAGGCGGTCGACCTGTGGGGTGATGCAGTCCCACGGTGTCAGAGACCTATGAGAAAGATTATAAGACAACATATCCGCTACAACGCACGTGGAGCCTAAAGAGATAAACGAAGAAGTGCTGAAAAAAGCTGGAAAAACATCGATGTATATATGTGCATACGGTACATATGTGCACGCAAGCGCCGATATCAAGCACAGCCGATAGTCAATGGTAGAAATCTCGCATACAATGCCAATACACATGCGCCACAATAAAGACTGAATGGTGATCTGTTTCTACTGAGCGTATATCGCTCTTTCGTCCGATGATAGAGTCCTCCTACGTGCCACTAAATAAACGTTGGACAACACTATAGATAACAGGCAAAGATCGGTGATATACCTCGCTCTCTGGTGAATTGATAGATATTCCTAAGCGTATCTACGTGGTTAGAGATGGGTAACATACATCGTTCTCCGGTACGATGACGGAAAATCCTGCCCAGTCTACGATTCCCGTGTACGGCAGGTGATAGAAGTCAGCGATAATCACAGGCACGCAGTCGTAGGCAAGCACCTCATTGATTCGCGGTGAGTTGACCTTCGTCCCTTGAATATGGCGAGCGGTTAGATTTGGGATTAGCACATTTACACACACACACACACATATATATATACATCCATACATATATATATATATATATATATATATACATATACATATACATATACTATACTATACTATAATAATATATATATATATATATATATATATATGTATATATATATATATGTATATGTATATACATATATTATCTGTATAACACTTCAAACGATCAAAGTATACCATTGCTAGCCCTTGCAACCACTCACAGAATTGACAGGAACATGAGTCCCATACATCAAACAAATTTAAACAGAGTATTGTGCGAGATATGGTTGCGTACCAATCCGAACCATAGAAAATAAAACACACACAAAGGTCCAGATACTTGTAACTCCTTGTGTTTACCTTCGTATCTACAGATAGATAACACACCTCGAGGTACCAGGCAGAACCGGGTACTGCTCAGACCCTTCACATACGCACTAGTGCTCATGTGGTCCCGGAGTATGATATCCGTATCTCGCCCGTACGCCTTAGTTAGGTGAGGTCGCAATCTACCCCGGTCTAGCCTCCCCGCGAAGAAGGCTAGAGATCGGCGTGTGCTGATAGTCTCTGTCATGTCTCGGGTGATTTTCCTTCGCAGAGCGTCCAACTGTCGGCTGGCCACGTGGGGTGGGATGGAGATGTCCTGACGAGGGTAACGAGAAGCAAAAACATTCGTTAGTGTATGTATGAATGCATATTAAATATTGCGTAGTATATATATATATATATATATATTTATATCAACGTATATTTATTCAATACATCAATACTGGCGGTGTTGGCCAACAATGGGAAACGACCAGTGCAGACGTCCTTCAATACCAAACAATGAAGGCGCTATTCTCCCAACAACAAGATACACAGACAGCTTCAGACAATTAATAGTCCTCGGTCGCCTGAACTCCTACTTCAAAACAACAAGACAAGCTTCAATCTACTGACAGCGTGTTACAGAAACACATCATGCACTTGCGGCAAAAACTCACACTAAAACCCACTCCCAGAGATATATAAGAAAGCCTCAGAGGTACAGCGTTGTAAATCACTTACTTCCACTATTATATTTATATTTAGGTGTGGTTACTTACTCGAATATGATCCCAAGAACATAACAATCCGCCAACAAAGGCAGGCACTACAACCCACAGGAGTACACTACAAATCATAGGCTGGTAACACACCATATAACGCCACGCACAAGGAATGTGTAAGGATATGGCGACTTATCGACACACACAGCACGTGCAGGTCGGTCTCTGAGCCGAGGAAGACCCACGCTGGGCTGTACAACTAACACCCACAGAGGCATGCTACGAAATCATAGGCTGGAAACACACCATGCCACGCCACGCAATATACATTTGGAGGAATACAACCACACTTGTACACATGCAGCACGCGAAAGTCGGTACCTAAGCGGGGAAAGATTTACGTTGGGCGGTACGATAACATAGGCAGTGCATAGACGATGGGAGCACACGTACATTGTAGATATATACTCATATAACTGCATATTCAGTATGGAAAGTCGACACCCTGTGCAGGAACCTGTACTGCTGTCAAGGGTCTTATTTGGATACAGTGCCAGCGACAATCATCACACCCAAGCAACGCTTGCACGGACAGCAAAACATCAGTGCGTGCTACAATAACTACTATCCACCAGCATACCATACAACGATGCAGGCAAAACATAAAAATATGTAGTCTACTTGGAGTGCACACACACACACAATATATATATATATATATATATATATAATATATACGTATGTGTACATATATATGTACATGTATATATATATGTAATGAAATATAAGTAAGTAAATAATACTCCATACCTATATATATATATATATATATATATACAGATATAGTATATATATATATATATATATATGTATATATATAGTGCCAGCGACAATCATCACACCGAAGCAACGCTTGCTCGGACACAAAACATCAGTGCGTGCTACAACAACTAAACAACTACTGTCCACCTGTATACCATACAATGATGCAGGCAAAACATAAATGTAGGTAGTCTACTTGCAGTACACAAACACACAATACACACACATACACACACACACACATATATATATATGTGTATGTGTACATATATATGTATATGTATATATATATATATTTATAAATAAATAAATAAATATCCATATATATATATATACTATATATATATATAAATATATATATATATACATACAGTATATATATATATATATATGTATATATATATATGAACATAAATATAGATGATACAACAAGTTTGGTACCTTGTGTGGAGAGAAGTACAGAGTTGAGTAGTCTCCGGCGGCCACCACGGCGATGACATTCTTCTGCACCATTTTGTGCGACGATGCCGATACACCCGCTCCCATGTGCATGCATATGTAGAAGTGGTTGGCACCCATTGTTTCGTTCCAGTGTGGGTACGCATGGCTGATATGGTCGATGTAGTATGACAGCGCCATCTCGGCCAGAACACCGCCTGTATTATTGTGGGAGATAGCAAACGTGAACTAGTATGAGCGGATAGGCATGTATATATAGAAGTAGTCCGTTGCTGTATGTGTAGGTATGGCTGATATAGTCGATGTAGTAAGACAGCGCCATCTCGGCCAGAACACCGCCTGTATTATTGTGGGAGATAGCAAACGTGAACTAGTATGAGCGGATAGGCATGTATATATAGAAGTAGTCCGTTGCTGTGTGTGTAGGTATGGCTGATATAGTCGATGTAGTAAGACAGCGCCATCTCGGCCAGAACTCCGCCTGTGTCGAAGACCGAGGTATTTCAAGCGAACATGCCTGAGTGGGTCCGTCCCAGGGGTATATATATATTTCTTTACTGGTCTTATAGACAAGTTGCGGCCAGGGGTTACTACCCTGCAGAATCGCTCGCCTTGTGCGTCTGCATGTGTGGATGCACAAGTACGTAGTATGCGAAGCAATGGTACCTTGGAATATATATAAAGTTCTTGGTTCTTTTATTCTAGTTGGGGTTTGCGTGGTTGCAATGGTCTATCCTTAGAAAGCGTTCTTTCGGCCAAATGAAGAAAGAAGCGGGTCCAAGCAGATGTGTATAACGAGTGATTAGTGTGTAGCTCGCTGGACAATAGGTTAAAAAACAGTAACTAGATACGAGATGGTTGCATCGTGTATTTGGCGGTGGTGTTTGTTTACTTCTCTGGAATAGGTCATGTACGAACAGTGCAGGTTGTATATCGCTACGTACAATTACACTGGAATGAATGCACAGGGCGATGTGGCCAAATTAGAGTTCAGCTGAAACTTGGTAGGAGTGGGACTACAATTTCGAAATGATTCGAGCAGAGTAGTTTATTATTGATATACTGTTTTATCAACACGGTAGGATGGCACACACAGAGTACACCCTTGTACAGGTCATGCCCACACCACACCACATCCAAACACCTCAACATACAATACGCAATACACAATACACATACCGCTCCTCCTACTGACAGCCACCTCACGTATGCCCGAGCACGACACAGGTATGAAGAAGAACTGCGCACCCTTTGGGTTCTTGGTAAGTAGCCCGGGGGTACTGCGCATGTTATTCACTATGACTGATCCGGCTTGGAAGGTACCGTCGCTGGGGAAGGGTATGCTGGTCCGCCGTAAGGCAGAGAGTTGAGGTATGAGCTTAACAAGCGCAGACGTTATATGCGTCCATGCACTACAGAATAGGGGCCTGCGCCACTGGGCTGTGACTGCGTGTGGCGTAGCATGTTAAAACACCACCCTACTGACCAAACACCACACAGGACACAAATGTATGCCGAACCCCCTCCACTACTAACCGAGACATATGATTCCGTTCAAGGGTTGTTCAAGCTTGTACTCGAATGAAAAGACATATACAAAAAAAAGAAAAAAAAAGGTATATCCATTGCGGCTGATCTCGAATGCTATGCTATCCTTGGTACTTGGCTGAAGGACTTATATCTGTAGACTGTGGTACATACACAATATAAATAAACGAGATGTGCCAAATTGAAGACTATGGTATCCTTGGTACTAGACTCAACGACAAAAAATCAGTTGCACCAAAACGGTCCGTCGAACGTACAACATACCAGGAAACAGCAGCGTCGTAATATGGACCCTAGGTGAGATCTTCATCTTGACAAGATTTCATTGTCCGGTTTTCTTTCGACTTTATCCACAGAAATCTGGCTTAGGTACACATGCATATATACATACTTACACAGACATATATGTCACTTACAAATCCGATTCGATGGGTATAGAGAAAGTGCCGTTGCCCTCGTCATGCACAAGACGGGGAGCATGTCCTTTGTCCACCATTTTTACCTGAGATGTCGCAAAAAGAAACAAAAAAACTCAGAAAGTGCAGCTCACGAAGTATGTTCGAGGTGGTCTTTGTTTATCAAGGCCCTCGGCATTGAATGGAAACTACAACTGTGAAAGATTATGAAAGTCATTGTTACAGGTCTATGAGAAGAGCAGTTTATAAGCTCAGAGAGCAGAAGAAACAGGTAAGCGTCTAATGCGTTCATCATGGTAAGGTCAACTGATCAGGTTTGTGTGCTAACAAACACAGCCACATGCGTTGAATGAGGAATGGATCCTCCGGTTGAGTTAAATCCGTATTTGTGTACCATATTAGGTCAGCTCAGCAATCGATGGGTTGTTATCAGCAAAATCATATCGGATATACAGAGGTTCGACTCCATACCAGCACATAGGCAGATATGCGGATACACAAGTCCACCTACACCACACACATCGCAAAATTTGCAATGGTAAAGGTCTGATTAAGGACTATATGCTGACGACGGAGATAAATGGCTCTAAGTGAATTGTATGTATACTGTGAAAAACGAGGCTGCAACTCAGTTCACAAACTACGCAGTGGCACATGCACGCGCAACTCAGTGGAACCTATTACAGTCGCGCTGACAAAACACTATCCTCAAATTGAAACTATAGCATCTGCACTATGAAACCCCACCAAAGGGTCCACTTTTATGGTACCGTAAATATCAAGTAGGGACATACATCCTGGTAACTGAACACGTGGCTCTGTTGATATCCAATAAAAACCTGAAAGCCGCATAACAAAACGTATTGTTGATATACACGCACCCTCTAAGACCCTATGTCTCCTTACGCAGCTCACACCTGCTCGCGAGTCAAAGGCATCCGTAAGTGCTCGTGTGGATATATGAATATCCGCATATTCTCTCGCATGTCCGCATAATCCTTTTGCTCCGATATTAGTCCGAACAGAGGTTTCCTGACGGACGTTGCTACAGATGGCATACTCTGCATATCATTGACTGAGTGCGAAATGTTCACAACCGGCATTGAAGACCTTCTCAACTGTTTTTCTTGCTCTATAGAAGATGGAAGCCAAGAAAATCCCGGGTGAGCTCACACCAATCACAGACGTCGGAGTGTCAAAATAGTAAGTAAACGCAATATATATATATATATATATATATATGTATATATATATATATAACTTAATATACATATGGATATACAAATATACAAATATACACACACACACACACACAC